ACAATACAAAGAAGGGAGAGAGGCTTGCTAGCTGTTGCAGCCCCTGCCCCTCCCTTTGCTCTTTGCTGTTTTCTGCCCACCATGAATGGTTGCCTTCTGCCATGGGCCACTCTGCCTTGGAGCCTGCCTGAAATCTCCACTAACTGTGCATTAAATAAACCTTTCCTCCCTTAATTTTGGGTGTCAGGTATTTTGTCCCAGCAACAAGAAAAATGTAACCAAGACAAGGTGCTATTGTCATGTTAAGAGTCCTTATTTTGTATAGAAACATACTAAATGACTGATAAAAACAAAGCAAAAAACCCTTTAAATTCAGCTGGGTGTTGTGGTACATGCCTACACTCCAGGTACTCAGGAGGTACAGCTGGGAGGATTGAAAGTTTGAAGGGCCCAGGAGATGGTGCTTTGCTGGCAAGCGCAAGGGCCTGAGTTCAACCCCCAGTTCTGCCAAAAAAAAAGAAAGAAAAGAAAAAAAAAAAAAAAGAAAAAGAAAGTTTGAGCACAGCCTGGCTTGTTTAGCAAGGCTCTCAAAATAAAATAAGTCCTTGTCAATTTATTTCAGCTGAGACAAAGGTATTAGACACTACCTTTAAGAGTCTTCAGGGCTGGCCAAATAGCAAGCAGGTGCAGGGCCCAGGGGTTTGATTCCCCCGGCCTGCTGTGCTGGCCCCGCTCCCAGGGCATGCTGAGATGGCAATTGAGACTGGGTGTGGTGGTGTGCACGTGTAATCCCAGCTCTTGAGAGGCTGTAAACAGGCGGATCACTAGGAGTCTGATCTAGTAGTGAGACCCTGAACACTCTGTAGACCCTTCCCTAAAAATACAAAAAAAAAAAAAAGTCTTTATCTTTCATAGAAAGCTTCTGGAACAGTTACAGAGCACACAATATGATATTTAAAATTTGCTTCAAAACTAGCCAGGCTAGTCAAGATCCCGCAGGTGATTCCAGCCTTCCCATCTGAAGGCCACCAAGGCATGAGGATCTCCATGAATTTGAGGCCAGCCTGGGCTACACAGTAAGTTTAAGGCTAGCCTGGACTACAAAGTGAAGTCCTGTCTCAAACAGATACAAAAAAAAAAAAAAAACAAACAAAAAACCGTCTAGGTGCATGTGAGTTGGGGGAAATGTTGTTAATTGCTGAAAGTGGGTGATTGCAACATTAGATTCATCACATCATTTCTTCTACTTTTGTGTATACTTGAAAATTTCATAAATAAAAAGAAAAAAAGAGAAAGAAGACAAAGGAAAGTAGAATAAAATCACTGACTGCTAGTTACCATATAAAAGTCAAAAGAAAAAAAAATTGTTAAAAAAAATAGTCCAAAGAATAAAAGATTTAACAAGTATAAAAGGTAAAACATAATTAGAACAAAAATGCAATCTTTTTTTAAATATCAAAAGGGAAATTTTTAAATAACAAAAAGATGGACAACACAAGGGAAAACAAAATTCGCATTCCATATCTAGGAACTATCATGCAAATTAGTATAATAAAAGATGATACCAAACACAGCAGTCATATCTATAAACATGAATAGGTGTTATTTGGTTAAAAAATTACTTTCTAATTGGCTCATATAATTTTAAATGACTCTTAAAAACACACAGATCAAACAGCAAGAGGAGGGTTGGGAGGTCGCTCAGCACTGTACATGTCTGCCTGGCAAGCTCAGGGACCCGAGCTGGGTCACGAGTACCACACACCGTGCTGGTGCTGGAAGGCCGAGATGGGAGGATCACTGCGAGTCTGAGCTGCGTAGCGAGACCCTGTACCAAATAAATAATTTTTAAAAGTATTTAACAAGAAAAAAAAGAGGAAACCCAAATACATGAAACTACACCAAGGGAAATTAAAATCAAATTCTAAAGAGAAAATCTTAAAAGCAGTCAGAGGAAAAGTACATGCTAAAAGGATGATACTAGCATTCTTACCAGAGATAAAGAAAAGCTATATTTATGAGGTGCAAAAAGCCAAAAATCACTGTCTACCTAGAAGACCTAGCAAAAAAATCATTCAACACTGACAACCTAGAGAATGGAAGATAATATCTACAATTTATAGGTCTGGTAAAGGCTTAGCAGATAGAATGTATAGAGAATACCTGCAACTCAACAACAGTAATACAGATAACTCAATTTAAAAATGGGCACAAAGACTTGAATAGACATCTCTCTTTTTAAAAAAAAATTTTTTTGGTGGAAGTGGGTATTGAACTCAGGCCCTTGTGCTTTCCAGGGAAGCACTTATCCTACTGAGCCATCTCCCTGGCCCTCATCTCTGTAAAAAACATTTACAAATGGTCAATAAACATACAAAGCTCTCTGGGCATGGTGGCACATGTCTGTAATCCCAGCACTTGGGAGGCTGAGGCAGGAAGATCCGAGGCCAGGGTGGGCTACAAAGTGAGCTCAAGGCCTGCCTGAACTACATGGTGAGACCCTGTCTTAAAAAGACAAACAAAACAAGACAAAACCATAAAAAGCTACACTCCACATAGTTAGTCATTAGGGAAATGCAAATCAAAACCAAAATGAACTATCACTACATAGCTCCTAGGGTGGCTATAACTTTTTAAAGTTTAAGAGATAGTTTATTATTATACATAATCCAAATAAAAGGATTACAAGAAGACTGCAATAGTTGTGAACAATTTCCCACCAAGTAATCCAGAAATCTAAACTCTCATCATTTCTTTAAAGTTAGAGTTGATATCTGACATGGCCTAGGCTTGTTGTCTTAAGGCTTGTAAAACAGATTAGGGGCAAAAATCCCACCAGAAATAGTTAAGGAAGAGAGCAATTTAACTTTCTAAAATTTTAAATGACTCAAAGATGTACACTTGTAGAATTCTAAAGGTACAGCTCACAGTGGATACACACACATATATGTATGCTCATATGTTTCTTTGGCTTAGAATGTACATATATGTGCACATGTGTATGTGTATGTACATCCTACAGGAATTACGTCTATACATGGGAATAGGTTATCTCCACCCGAAGGTCCCCATGTTACTTAATGGCAACACACTAAAGGCATTCCCACTTCCCTCAGAAGCAGCACACAGATTTGCATAGTCTGTACTACTATTTAACTTTTACAGGAGGTATTTAACCAACACAACAGAAAATTAGAAAAGAGGGCCAGGAAGACGGCTTGGTGGCACCAGCGCCTGCTTGGCAAGTGTAAGGTCCTGAGTTCGATCCCCATACCAGAAAGAAAAAGAAAGTAAAATGTACACCTATCTCTATCTGCCCACAACATAACAGTATGTCTGAAACTCTAAAGAAAAAAAAAAAGTTAAGCTTAAAAAGTCAGTGTAACAGGATATAAAGTTAACATATAAAAATCAATAGCCTTCATATATATAAGCAATAACCAGTTGGAATGTGAAACAGAAAAATAGAAACCATTTATAACAGCAACAAAAAACTAAAATGCTTAGGAGTGAAACCTAAGAGTCCAGGGTTTAGCTCAGGGGCAGAGCAGTTGCCCAGCATGTGCGAGACCCTCAGTTTCCTCCCAGCACTGGAAAATTAAAAGCAAAACATAGCAAAAAATGTTCAAAACCTTGGGCATGGTGGTGCATGCCTTTAATCCTAGTACAGGGAGGCCATGGCAGGAGGACTGCAGTAGGTTCAGGGCCAGCCTGGGCTGCACAGGGAGACCATCTCATAAAAACAAAAACAAAAACAAAAAGCCCCGTATAAAAAATGAGAGACTGGGTGTGGTAATGCGCGCCTGTAATCCCAGCTCTTGGGAGGCTGTAAATGGGTGGGTCACTACAACTCCGATCTAGTAGTGAGATGCTGAACACCCTGTAGACCCTTCCCTAAGATACAAAACTAAAAATAAAAAAATAAATAAAAAATAAAAACTGGACTGAGAAGAATTCTTTTTTTTGGGGGGGGGCTGGCTCAGGCTGCCTTAGGGGGGTCTGGTACAGCACGTGGAGCTGGGGCTGTGCCTGACTGAGTCTGCCCAAGCAGGCGCTCTAAATAATCGAGCTAACCCACAAGCCCCCTAGAAAACTGGACTGAA